CCATTCCATTCCATTCCATATTCTATTCCATTCCATATTCCATATTCCATTCCATTCCATTCCATTCCATTCTAAATAGTTGTCCAATCTCTTCTTAAAAACTTCCAGTGTTTGGAGCATTCACAATTTCTAAGCTATTTTCCAAGGCACCCGAAGGCCAGACAAGGAATCATGGATGGAAACTGAACAAGGAGAGATTCAACCTGGAAATAAGGAGGAATTTTCTGAGAACAATCAACCCATGGAAGTTGTGGGAGCTTCATCCCTTCAGGCTTTCAAGAAGAGACTGGACATTCAGAAATGGACTGTCAGAAATGGTGTAGGGTCTCCTGCTTGGGCAGTGGGGGTGAACTAGATGACCTTCAAGGCCCCTTCCAACTCTGATTATCTGGAGGCAAGCCATTCCACTAGTTGATTGTTCTCACCGTCGGGAAATGTCTCCTTAGTTCTAGGTTGCTTCTATCCTTGTTTACTTTCCATCCATTTTCCTGCCCTCGGGTGCTTTGGAGACTAGCTTGACTCCCTCTTCTTTGGGGCAGCCCTTTCAGACATTGGAAGGCTGCTCTCGTGTCACCCCTGGTCCTTCTTTCCATTAAGCCACACCTCCCCAACTCCCGCACCCGTCCTTCATAGGTCGTAGCCTCCAGCCCTCCTAAGCATCTTCGTTGCTCTTCTCTCCACTCCTTTCTAGAGAGCACGTTGAGCCCCGAGCCGGCGCCCTTCCTGGGAGCGGTGTGGATGTGACCGTGGTCAGATTGAACAGATTTAAAACAGAGCGGAAGGGACCTTGGAGGTCATCTAGTCCAACCCCACCCCCCACCCCCCAATATCCACCCATCCAAGCAGGAGGCCCTACACCAGGGGCGTCCAACCTTGGCAACTTTAAGACTTGTGGACTTCAACTCCCAGAATTCCTCAGCCAGCAAAGCTGGCTGAGGAATTCTGGGAGTTGAAGTCCACAAGCTGGCTGAGGAATTCTGGGAGTTGAAGTCCACAAGTCTTAAAGTTGCCAAGGTTGGACGCCCCTGCCCTACACCATTTCTGACCAATGGCAGTCGAGTCTCTTCTTGAAAGCCTCCAGGGCGTGTGAACGCGGCCGCTGGGGGCAAACCCGCGTGGAAGTGGCCCGAAAGCGGCTGGTCCTCAGTGCCGGGGCTCCCGCGGATCCTCCTCCCCGCCTAAGGTCGGGCCAGCAGGTGGAAAGGGAGGGCTGCGGGCGAGGGGCGCGGCTCCTCCGCCCGGCTCGTCCCTCCTCCGACTCCCGGCGCCGCCAACCAGCAACCGGAGCGCCTCTCCGGCCGCGCCCCGGGCAAGGTGTCCCCCCTCCCTCCACCACCACCCCAGCTCCAAGCCGCAGCAGCCCCAGCGCCACCCACCCCGGCCGGCACCGGCACTTCCAGCTCGCCCGGCTGCTGCTGCGCTCCGGAGCCGCGTCCCCCCATCGCTCTGCGATCTCGCCTCAGCTTCCCCCCCAAACCCACCTCCACCGCCCCCCCGGGCTCAGCGCGTCTCCTCCGGGCTGGGGGGCCCCGCCGGCGGGATGGCCGAATTCCCGGCCAAAGTCAGCACCCGCACCAGCACCCCCGCCGGGGAGCCGGCTTTCCACGCCCCCGCCTTGGATCTGAATTTCGTCAAGTCCCCCTTCGGGATCCTGATGATCGTGGAAATCGTGAGTAGCCCACCCACCCCACCCCCGTGTGCCTCTGAGCTCCCGCGGAGGGTCCCCGGTCCCGCGGGGTGGCGGGGGTTGGACTAGATGACCTCCAAGGTCCCTTCCAACTCCGCTTAGCTGGAAATTGATTGAAAAGCAGCCGGCCGGCCGCCCTTCTGCCGCTGTGCAGCGGACCTGTGGGTGGGTGGCGGGGTCCCTGAAGCCGGGGGTGGGTTGGAGTCAGTTGCTCCTCTCGCTGCGCCCAAGAACGGTTCTTTTGCCCGGGGCGGAGAGAAGCCCGTCGGCTCCTTCCCCAGGTTGAGCTTTTCTTCCGAAGGAGGGCTAACCCCGAATCCTGGTTTGTGAACCGCGATTGTTTGGGCTTCGTCCCAGCTATTAACCCAGATGCGGAGAAAGTCACCTGCTCACACTTTGCGCGTTTGGTTTCTGTCCTTATTGCGCCCAGGAGAAAGGATGGGTGGGTGGGGGAACCACAAGGCGATTCCTTTTCTTACAACGATCTTCTTGCTAGGTAGGCTGGTCTGAGAGTAAGGGATAGATCCAAAGTCTGTGGCCGGAGTAAGATTTGAATCGGAGTCTCCCAAGCCTCTCCGCTACCCGTAGGGACTTTATATGGATTTTCTTCTCTCAGCTAAGAACAATCCTATTCCATAAAACCCAGCTGTATGCAATTACTATTAGTTTGTATAAACAATTAGTTTCAAGCTTAACTTGGTCTTTTTATTATATTTTATAGTAATCGTTCTTTTCAGTTCTTTGTGATTAATGCCCCAGAATTATTTTAATCTTGCAGGATAATTCTCCTTATATTGTACTTCCTTCTAAGTTGAATATTTGCTTCCTCTTCAGAAATTTAGAGAGACGTTTTATCTAAGAATTTTAGTTCTAATAATGTGCACCGTTCTAGCATTTGTGTTATTATATCATGTTAGCGCACTTGATCTTATAATACCTTTCCCTTTTCTCTTTTCCCTTCCCTTCCCTTATCCCTTCCCTTCCCTTCCCTTCCCTTATCCCTTCCTTTCCTTTTCCCTTCTCTTCTCTTCTCTCTTCTCCCTTCCCTTCTCCCTTCCCTTTTCCCTCCCTTCCCTTCCCTCTTCCCCCTTCCCTTATTCTTTCCTTTATCCCTCTCCTCCCTTATTTTTTCCCTGGCTTCTTTCCTCTTTTTATCCCTTCTCTTCCCCCCTTTTTTTGCTTTCTTTTTAAGCTAGCCATGGATCAAAATTAATAAAATCTAACTTCCTCATTACACCCAGGCTAAGTCTCCGTGTAAGCTCAGCCTGCAGTATTCAAAAGGGCCATTTTCTTCAGCAGTGGGGGGGTCATTGCGCCACAACAGGACTCTGTAGAAAGATTTAGGGGAGTGAAAGAAATCCCCCCCCCAAGCGACCAAGACTGGAGTGGACAACTGGAAAAACAAACACACGCACACCCCAAGGCAGAAATCTCACAGGACTACTGGTCACAGAGCCACTATTGGTTGGGTCTCAATTGGCCCAGAGCCAGCAATAAGCTTGAGATCATCTCTAAGATGATCATCTCTACCTTTGATCTTTGAGAAAGGGCAAAATAATTCCATTTGGCTGGGGAATTCTGGGAGCTGAAGTCTACAAGTTTTAAAGTTGCCAAGGTTTGGACACCCCTGGTCTAAAGTAATAGGGCTTGAATGAAGTTTTAACAGATTAAGAGTTGGAAGGGACCTTGTACTAGGTCATCTAATCCAACCCCACTCCCACCCATCCAAGCAGGAAACCCTACACAGCATTTTTGACAAATGGCAGTTCAGTCTCTTCCTGAAAGCCTCCAAGTGATGAAGCTCCCACAACTTCTGAATGCAACTTCTGTTTCATGGGTGGGTTTGTTCTCCCTGTCAGAAAATTTATCCCTGTCAGAAAATTTCTTTAAATTTTTATTTCTAGGTTGTATTTCTCCTTGATCAGTTTCCATCCATTATTCCTTGTCTGGCCTTCGGGTGCCTTGGAAAAATTGCTCGACCCCCTCCTCCTCTCTGTGGCAGCCCCTCAAATATTGGAAGACTGTTCTCCTGTCTCCCCTGGTCCTTCTCTTCACTAGACCAGCCAGGCCCAGTTCCTGCAACCATTCTTCATATGTTTTAGTCTCCAGTCCCCCAATTATCTTGGTTGCTCTTCTCTTTCTAGAGTCTCAACATCTTTTTTTATAGTGTGGTGAGCAAAACTGGATGCAGTACTCTAGGCGTGGCCTTACTAAGGCTTTGTAGAGTGGTATTAGTACCTCCCTTGATCTTGATTGTATCCCTCTGTTAATACAGCTTAGGATTGCGTTGGCTTTTTTGGCCAGACACTGCTAGAATAGAAGCTTCTAGGATTTCTGCCTTTAAATAACCGGACAGTGTAAAATTGTGATGGGTGGAGTAGCCTTCAGTGCAGGGAGAGGCAAAGAATCTTTCCAGGGCTTGTGTGCAAATATATAAACATCCACACTTTCCTGTGAGTGGAATAAAAATAGTACTGCATGGACTAGTGTTTTTCCCATAATAATCCAGCTGAGAATGGTGTTTCCTGTTTCTTTTTGTAAATTCTAATCAAGTAGGTGAAACCCGCATCGTATTTCCCAAGAGACCAGAGTCAGGGCCATAGATTGATTGAGGGGACCATTCTTATACAACCTGTGTTGCTCAGCTGAGTCATCCAGTAGCATGAGCTTTGTAGTGTCACTTGGAGGACATCCGACCTGGGGAAAGGCTGAAGGCTGAGATGTTCAGGGTGCAAGGATGTGGGACTGCAAGGAACAAGGGGAGTTCATGTTTCCTTCGTTGGGCTTTCAGATGCCAAGCTCACAGACTGTCATGAGGGGTGGCAGATGGGGGTGGGTTTGATAGAGCCAATAGAGCCAGTTCAGTCTAGTGGTTAAGGCATCAAGCTAGAAACTAGGAGATGGTGAGTTCTAGTTCCACTTTAGGCATGAAAACCAGCTGGGTGATTTTGGGCCAATCACCAGGCAATGGTGAGTTCTAGTCCAGCCTTAGCCAAGAAAACTGGCTGGGTGACTTTGGATTATTCACCAAGAGATGGTGAGTTCTAGTCCAGTCTTAGACATGAAAACCAATTGGGTGATTTGGGGTCAATCACCAGGAGGCGATGAGTTGTAGTTCTGCCTTAGCCATGAAAGCCAGCTAGGTGACTTTGGACCAATCACCAGGAGATGGTGAGTTCTAGTCCAGCCTTAGCCAAGGAAACTGGCTGGGTGACTTTGGATCCTTCACCAGGAGATGGAGAGTTGTAGTCCTGCCTTAGGTAAGAAAAGTCAGCTGGGCGATTTGGGTCAATCACCAGGAGGCGATGGGTTCTAGTCCTGGTTTAGGTCTGAAAGCCAACTGGGTGACTTGGGCCAGTCCCTCTCCCTTAGCCCAAACCTCTACAAAAGGTTGTTCTTGTGGGTAAATGAGGAGAAAGGAGTACGTTTCCTGAGTAACATAAATTAATAAAGACGGAAGTCACTAATGCATAATAGCTAAATGGCAAATACCAATGCCTGATTTTTTCCTAAGACCAGGAGGAAAAAAAGGTGATTATACAGAGCAGAGATGTATCTCAAAAGGGGAAAGCAGTAGATAATGCCAGGAAATTCCCATGCTATTTCTCATGACCCCTGTCCCAATTCTTCTCTTGACCCCTTCCTCTAGAAAAATGTATAAAATTTGGACCCTGCTTTGAAAGGGCCAAAAAATCCTCCCACGTGTTCAGGGAGGACAATGAACACACAACAAAACAGTCATGGTGGCAGAACACTTCATACAACCCCGGAGTTGTTTTCAGCAAACCGAGTCATGATGGCGGCTAAACAGGCTGCCAGTCTTCCCACAAACCTGAGCTACAGTACAGATATTTGTTTGTTTGTTTGTTTGTTTGCTCAATTTATAGAATCATTTATTGTTTATATTCCAGCTAGGGTGACGCGTTGTGCTTGCATCCCCATGACAGGCTTCCCGGTGAGGTTTTGCAGCAGGCAAGCAGGGTTAGTTTGCGGTAGCCGAAAGCTCCAGGAAAAGCACAAGGCTTTTCGTAAAATGCGTTAATTGGAAAATGTGCTTGCAAGCTTCTTCTGATTTGAGATTAGTTTGGGAATGATTTTGTGTATTGGTTTAATCCATCCTCTTCGGTTAGTTGAGGGTACCGTATGCAGAGGTAGAAAATGTTTTCAAACCAAATCTTGCATGAATTACTGACTAGCTAAAACGAATCCCATGTTAAAAAATATTCTGTTTCTTCCTTCTCCTTAATTTTAAGTGTTAATCTATCCATTTCTGCACATTCTAGGTTTTTTTATTACACTTCCTTCTGTAGGGATTTCTTCTTTTTTTTCCCACTGTTGTGCAAACACAATTCTTGCCACGGTTAACACATGTAAAATTAAATATGTATTTATTGTACTTTTCTGGTAAGATAGCCAACAAAAATATTTCTGGTTTTGGGTCTATATGTTGCTTTACTATTTTTTCTAATAGTAATAATATTTTTCTACTTTTTCTACATTTTTCCATGTATGTATTTTGTCCAATGACTAACTAACAGAAACAGAAGATAGAATTTTAAAAGCTTAAGGGAATGATTATTTATATAGTGAGGTTTTATTGAAATGGATAAGCTATTATGATGATGGTGATGGTTATTGTTATTAATGCTATGAATATTGTTGTTATTATTGTTGTTATTGTTGTTGTTGTTTAATCTTTAATGAGCCTTTGGGGCTGGTTGGTAGCTCAACAGCTCGAGTCCTAACCAAGGAACTGTTCAGGTAGCGTCGGAGGATATAAGCTGTTCCAAGTAGGGTGGTTTTTTGTAGACTCGGTATTCAAGTCTGATAAATTCAGGATTTCCAAATAGCGAGGTAGCCCTTTAGGTATTGCTCCAAGGGCTCCAATTACAATGGGGAAAACACGCAATTTCTTTTTCCGAAGTCGCTCAACTTCGATTTGGAAGTCCCGATACTTTGTGATTTTTTTCTTGCTGCGTGTC